TTGTCGCATCCCTGCACACTCTGACAACATCCCTGTATTCCTCCCAAGTGGCCTGTCCCCTTTTCCACAGTCTGTACACCTCCTTCTTCTGCTGGAGCTTTGCCAGGAGTTCCTTGCTCATGCAAAGAGGAGTCTGTGAGAAAAAACTCCTAGTAAATCATAGGACACTAATGAGTGAAAAATCAAACTGCATTACTTTTAATGCCTAAGCAACAATTTATTGCTATATACAGTAATTACATTTTTTATGGGATAGAAATTTGATTCTAAAAGTTTATTTGATTTTTTTTTGACCTTTCCTGACAAATAGCTAGCATGTTTGGTGCAAATTCAGGTGAAAACCCCTTAGCTTATTTATTGGTACTGTTTTGCTAATGTAAACTTACATATAAATTATAGCAGGACTGGAATCTGTGGTGTATGTTCATATGCAGACTTTGACCTCTCTGGGACACGCTTTTGTCCTCTCTCCAGTGAGCCTCATTTCCCTTGTTAGATATGGTTGAGTTTGCTGATCTCATTAGGGAATCCACTGGTTTCATAGAGAAACAAAATGAAGTGGGCAGTCTAGAATGATCCCAGATTTACAGTTGCATATATATGCATCATTGTCTCATTGTTCTTTTTTAAATCAAGTTTAATTTATATCTGTTTTCTATTCAGTGATTATTTTTATGAGGTGTTTGAAAAAAGGTTTCTTCTTTTTTATATTTCTTCTGTGACTTACTAGGAAATAAAACAGGTGGTTTCACATAGTCTAGGAAACCATTACAGCCTTCCTTCTGAGAAGCAGCTTACAGAGGGAGCTGTAGCTCCCCTTTCCCCAGTATTCCCATCTGCTGGCAATGAGACTTCTCTTTCTGAAATTTGGCCTGAGCCAAGACAGAACTGGGAAACAGCCAGCCAGAGTTCTCCTGTTTCTTCCCCCTCCCCCCCCCTTTTTTTTTTTCCTCAGGAGCATGTGACTTTCCTCTGGGCTATATATTTCTTTTACCCCGTGCCTTATGAGACTATATGAATGTCCTTTATAATTTCACTGGAGATATGAATTGGCAGAGCTTAAAAGGAGAATGAATCCTTGGCAGGGTGTTCATTTTCAGTGCTGCTGTCCTCTCTGGCCATATAACTGTACTTTTTCTTTGTAAATTATGTTTGTTCTCCCTCAGGATTGCCGTTTAATTTCCCTCTGTGTTTTTTTCTGACAGGACTGAAACATTTACCCTCTATGATTGTTTTCATTGCCCATTTGAATTTGAAGAGCTATTCTAAGTGATTTTCCTCAGTTATCCTCCATAGCTGTCGATTCTGTGTAATTTTTCCTGAGTGCAGACACTCTTCCCCTAAAAGACAATTTTCACTAATGCAGTGCAAGTGAACTTCTTTTAGAAAATGCTTTTATACGGACTTAGCAATTGTGGAGGTGGGAGGGAGACCTGTAGGCTATCGCTTATAGAATAGTTATAGCATAGGCAAAGACAGAAAAAGCTTTTTTCTCTGGAGGGAAGTTTCAGCTGTTCATTCTTCCTGTCTGCTCACTTCCTAGTGAATGTGTAAACTGTAAGCAACAGTGTTTCCAGTTGTGTGTGTGTGTGTTTGTTTTTTTGTTTTGTTCTATTCTTCTTAGGCCAAATATAAAAGACCAGTAAAGACACTTAACTTATGCTTATTTTTGGAGGCCTAACTCAGACTATCCTGCTTGCTTCTTCATCCAAAGAGCCTTCAGATGGTAACAGTAGTTATTAGATTTTGAGGCAGTGAAAGAGATGAAAGGCAGATGTAGAGATTTCTGATCTTCACCTTAATAGGGACCAGAATCAGTATCTAGTTCTACTTTTGCTATAAATTTTGTCTGTCATAAAACTAGCAAATCTGGTTTGTCCAGCTTTTTATGTTATGCTTTCGAAAAGCAACACAAACAGAATGAATGAGTTCTGAGTTTATGTTCATCCTTCCTTCTTGCCATTTGGAAATAAAGTTTCTAACCCATAGCACAATATACAGAAGCTACTTTGAAATATGGCAGCCGGTGTTGCCAGCATTCACTATACTAATGCAGCTGTCATACTTGACTTTTTTTTAAAGCTTCGGTAACTTGAGTGAATGAACGATGTGAGAACAGTCTCCATTTAAAAAATGCAGTCCAAAATTCGTGTCCTTCACGGTTATGAAGAAAAGACATAAAACTTGATCATAAGGACTTAAAAATTTGAAAAGCAGAACAATATAAGACCATAGATATTATTTTTTAAAGTACAGCTTTTAAAGCCATTGTTGTGAGGTTTTTTTGAGCCTGACTAATGATTGTTGAATGCTTTGTGTTGGCAACATCTGTTGGCTTGCGTCCTGTCACAGCAGGTAAATGAGTGGGAGTTGAAACTGCTGATCTTCCCGCATTTTGATCCTGAGAGAAAAGGAGAGAGAACATTTCAGTATGCGTGTACTGCTTTCCGACTGTTTTCCCCACAACATACCCTCAGATACATCAGTGCTTTTCTTACAATTTAGGTGTAGCAAAAAATAATTTTTTTTCCGGTTAAACTTTATTTTGCTGAAGGGGTCTCTCCTGCTCCTGAAATCTAATTTGCCAAAGATAAAAATAGTCATGTTGGTGTCACAGCTTCATGAAACTTTTGTGACAAGCCATGATCTGGTTTAGAACATAAAAGGTGAAGTCAGTGAGACTGGCTGAGTGTTTCAGTGCATCCCAGAGTAACATCTGGTTGGAGCAGAGTCACAGGGAATAATCCAAGCAGAGTTTTCAGGCATGTGCAAAAGCTGGGGTATATCTTATAACATAGTTAGCATCTTAATGGAGCACTGAGCCATATCCATAGCAGGCTTTGTCCTGTTTGGGAGTCTGGAGCCCCTGGGAGGGGTATATTTGAGTATCTGCTGTAACCGTTCTGGAGTACCTCCCTGGAAATTCTCCCTGGCTTTCGTCAGGTGCTTAG